ACAATCAGTTGCACCTTTTGATAGCGTTTCCGCCTTCTGTGGTACTCCAGTAACCGTACGGTCCGGTAACAACATTACCGAGCGCGTCATTTTCACCAACGAACAGAGGACTGAATAGGATGGAATCCCGAGGATCATCCAAATAATTATCCAAGACCATGTCCCAATAAGGTATGGCTACGGTTGGATCGACAAGGCGTAAAGCGATTTCGACTCTGCAATCACTCAATAAAACAACTTCATCATTTCATGTGACTCAATTCTTTGAATGTTGAAGGCTGTCACTGTTCTTTCGAATGAACTCCTCATCGTAAAATTTCAAGTGAGATAACCGTAACCTCTTAAGGAATTCGCGATGCCATGGCAGAAATCCCGGGCCTGCATGAGCGCCACTTGCAGTGCCGACCTCAAAATATCAATTCTGTTTATGGGACTCGCTTTGTTCGCCTAAGATCAACTAAGCCATTCAGTCATCGAAATACGCATAATAATAAAAAAATGAAGACTGATCTTTTTTTTGTTCAGCATTTAGGACTAATAGTGAAGAATGAGATTTGGTGTGGATGTCTCACTCTGAAATGTTCAACTGTCAATCGATCATACTCGCCACTACTCTTGAGCTCGGTCATCGCACGATGATAACGATTCCGTTCATCGTCGGACATCATTCGGAATTCTTTACGATACGCCATAGTCAATGGCCGACCGTTCTCGAGAACGCATTGATTGTTCGATCCAATGTGACCCTTAATTAAAGTGGTCGAAACGAACGTCTTCTTTGATTCATTTCGAAATTAATTCAATATTGCTTTTGTATCATCTTGCTCCCTTTTGAAGGTAATTTTCTGGTTAGTTTTCTGCTGCTCTGTTTTATCTAGCATTCGTATGGAATTACGATTAAGGATCTGCATTTGAATGACTATAAAATATCAGGATGACATCTGAGCATAAAGTGTTGGCGTAGTTGATGTGCGCGNTTTTTTTTGGAAGAGAATCAACGATATATCATACGAAGAAACTCTGCAAAACGAGTTCGCAATACATTTTCAAAGTGGTCATCCCTATTCAATTTTGATCTTTGACATATTCAGTGAATTCGGAATAAACCCGGCTGTTATTTCAAAATCGATTACATCTAAACGGTTCCGTATAAATTAACGTCGTTCTGAAAGTTTTTTCCGTTATTTGCTCTAGCAAACATTGGAAAGTGAAAGAAAAAAGTTGTGGCACTGAAGCGATGTTATCATGATGTTATTGTTAAATAAAAATTTGGAACGCTGACATGATGACGGCGGTTACCATTGACTTTATGATGTCCGTTTCAGTAGACTCTATGATTTAATCAATGATTAAGAGAGATAACCTTGAAATATGGACACAAACATGTAACTGTCATGCACTCATATGGATGGGTAGCGGCTTGACCCCTTGCTCCAGGCATGACAGGTCCAGGTTGTAGATGTTTTGGAATTGTCGGAGGAATTGTGGACGTCTTATTCTTCTTCACTTTGCCATCAAATTCTTCGCGCGATAAACGTGCAGTTTTTTGTAGCTGAAAGTGAGTTCAACTTCATTTCATCGCAATTTAAAAGCGACCACAATAATACCATGCTAACAAGCATAATCTACTGTGATGGCTTGTGATATAAAGGGAATCAGTACAATATCAAAGATAATTACCTTGAAATTAGTATAATTATACCTTGAAATTA